CACGAGGATGTGTACTTTCTGCTTAACGACTACTGTTCGCCGCTTCTTTGATAATCTACAAATTTAACGGCTTCATTTTTTTCCGTTTTCTGTTTTTCTCAATGGCGATGTTCAAAGGAAATCTACCTGGTGTTTCCTTTTTTCTTTCTTTTCTCTCGAAAATTATTCAAACGCCACAGGGATTATACTTCCCGTCTCTCCCCTGTGGAAAGATCGAGGTAGGCACTTTAAATAGAGAGGAACTAAATATTTGTCTGTAGAAAAAGGAAGTGAAGATGGCGTTGTAGCGTGTAATCGGATGTGGAGATCGGATAGGTTCAAATACAGCTGTATTTTCACCAGATCGCGCTCCTTTTGCTTCCTACTGTATCCTGTTCAGGTGGTTCGAGCAGTATTATACAAGCAAAAGAAAGGAAAAAGGAATTCCTGGATTACTTTCGAAGGGACGATCGAGCGTATACGGCGAATAAACGACACGGTTATCAATTTGAAGAAGAGAAACAGAGGGAGAGAGGTGGAACAGAGCCGTTGACAAGGAAGAAAATCGGAGAAGGAAGGAAAATGGTGCCCCCCCTATCGAGGTCCATCTTTCCGGTAACATAATACCTCGTGGCTGCCAGCACGCACACATTTCACCCTGTTCTGGTTCCCTTTTACGTCATCCGCCCCCCTCCCCCCTCGGCTTTTAGCCTTTGAATAATATTTGAATTGCGTAATGCCCGTCTAAATGGGGCTCGTTTCTCGCCGCAAGGCCAGATGATCCCGTGTGATCAACGGATTAACGTCTCGGCGATTCTCGATCGTGGCGATCGAAGAAACCACACTGGATGATATACAGAGGAAATAAGCAGATCACCGTTAGCAGCGAATTAATGAAATTTGAAAGAAAAAGAAGAAACAATACGAACGAATTGGACAATGTCGATTTCATCGTGTCGACTGTAATAATTATTATCCTTCTTTCTCTTCAAACATTGAAATTACGTTCTTCTTTTGTATTTTATTTTCGTCTTTCAAACACGATCGATGGTATTTTAACCGAACTAATATATCACAGAGAGAGAGAGAGAGAGAGAGAGAGCGTGTGATTAAAGCGAGTCCACGCGTATTACGCGGCGATATTTCTCCCATCGGGGCATAAATTGCAATTCTCTGATTAATAAGCGCATCCTCGGAGAACCGGATCGGGAGCAGGAACTTCTATTGCCCAGGCCTTGCCTTAATGTTTTCACAGGACTCGATCTCGATTCATCTCTCTCTCCTCTCCTGTTTTACTTGCGCGAATCGACGAAGGCCTCTCCTTTTACCCTGACTCGCGTCTACCACTCGCCCGTGCAATCGTTCGAGCAACACACGGGAATCACCTTCGCACGATTGAATCGTGTGAATTTATCGTATTGAGAAAAATAACGGGGAGACACGCGATGGAAAAAACTGAAAAACGAGGATATACAAATTTTCCGCGTCTCCGTGGTAATGGTCAGGCAAAAAATAAATCTCGAAAGATTCTCGAAATCGCAGTAACAATTTCTTCAACTGTACACACACGTAGTTCTCGAAAATTGAGAATAGCGTCTCTGCTCGCAGGAATGACGGAGACATTGTAGAGAAAAGGCAAATTACGTGAACGATATTCGCATAGTGTTTCCACCACTGTGTTCCATTTACTCTTTTATCCAGCCACCCTCTCGCCGCCTATACCTCTCGAAGCAATTTCCTCGCCCCCTCTCGAGCACTCGTTTTCACTCGCAGGCGCCACGTAAAATAATAATATTAAGCCAGGTGAGATTTAATCGGGGGCCTTTGAACGAAGCCTGACTGGCATGCATGCTTCGAAACCGCGGCCACGGGTTTTACCTGTGTTCTCCATTCGTATACGTGTAGGTACAGTGTTATAGCGTGGTCATAGTGTTAGCAGCCGGCGAGAATTACATTCATGTTTGAGCTTAAGTGCACTTGCGGTCGATTGACGTTGCAAAATCACCGAGGTTAGAATAATTCGTTGTTCTTCTAATAACTTTCACAACGAACCACGACCGTTCTCTGCCACTCCTGTATCGAACGATAAGACGTTCTATCGGTGATTTTCGTTAATAGAAACGAACGATCGAAGGAAGAGACGGTTCGATCGAGAGAGACAAATTGGAAATTCTCCCTCGGAAATAATTAACATCGACGACATTCCCCTCCTCAGACTTGCCTTATTACAGTCTTTAACCCCTTGCCAAGCTGCCTGTTCCTTAACTTCACCTTCACCCTTCAACCTTCGTCCTGTTCTCGTTTACCTCCCACGGTAGATTTACATCGAACAATTTCCAAATTTCACGTACACGAAGATTTGCGATCAAGCGTTTCCTTCTCTCCGTGTTTTCTATCGAGTCGCAGCGTAACCAAGAATACCGCCAATAGTTTCGTACAGAAGAGAATCTTTACCTTCAGGAACAGATCATTTCCGTGCTTGAAGATTATCAATTTTCACATCCACGAACATTTGCGATCAAGTGTTCCTTTTCTAGTTCCCCAAGTTTTACCCTCGAATTGTAACGTAACCGAGAATAGCGCCGAGAGGAAGAAGCATGGAATTTAAACCAACCACCGACACGTGAACAGCTCAGAACGTTTTTTTTCTCTCTCTCTTTTTGTGTTTGTTTCTTTTTTCAATTCAAATCTATTCGGTGAATCTTAACCACGGTGACTATTACGCCCATCGGAAAGCTCACAAAAGAGTTCCTCCGCTAAAGTCGATGTTATCGAAGAGTAGAGCCAAGAGAATTATTATTGCTGAAGAGGCCACGGTGCGGAAGATTTGCATCGCTAAACGCTGCTAATAATTTTAATTGGTGTTATTAAGGTCCGTCGCGCGGAGGAAGTTGTAATTACCAAGATATCCTGGTAACGCTTAATCGAAACTGATTCGCTCGTTCCGCTCAAACGAGCGTTTCCACCAGTCTCTGGGATTCATCTTTTTCGAGGAATGAAATTGGACGTGAACGTGATCGCGATCGCATCAACGAACGATAGTATCGTGCAACACACTTTTATCGATTATTCACCGGCTACGACAGTAACACGAATTACGAGATCTCTTCCAATTCTAGTTTGCAAATTAAAAGTACCTCGTGCTGTGTGAAATTTTTTTTTCCTCTCTTCAAAATGGGGTAGACTGAAAGTGTCTTTTCTTCTTCCTTCTTCTTTTCTTCTTCTAGTTGAATACGTTTGGAAAATTTTGTAAACGAACGCTGTCGAGAAATTGCGCGATCTAAGTCTCGCCGAAAACCTTAGTAGTTAACCTAAACCATAGAGTTTCCAAGGGAAGCCTGATATCGGAGAATTCTGTTCCGAGGCGAGGTACGAAAATACCATAATTCTATTTATCAAGAAAACTTCCACGTACACCGAAAGTATAAAGCTCGAGGAAAAAGTGCAACGTGAACATTAATGATCGTTCACTGTTATATATAGAGACGTTCCGTACGTAAAATCAGCGGCGTGGCACTCTGTCTCCTCCCGTTAAGGTGCTAAATTGATGAATGAGTCGCGAAAACCGAAAACATTTCATTGTATCACGGCCGGTGGACTAATAGAACTTGTCCAACTCGATTACTCCTACCGAAGATGCGTGAGCTTAATGGCGGCCGGACCAAGTTCCCAGCAGCGTTGTTTAAGTGACTGATGTTTCTACGGATTACTGGTAAAAATCCACGAGATAAGATCGATCTTGGTTTCGGTATCGGTACGAATTAAAATTATGGGTGAATAGAGAAAGAAATGTGACGGTAGAGGGTGAACGGGAACGATACAGGCAAACACACAGGTTGGAAAAGAAGACTTGGTGGCTCTAAGGCGGTGGCTTGACAGTTTCGACGTCCACCCTCTGCCATTAAGTAAATTGACTTCCACATACCGGCAGACTAAATAACAACCTAATTTCCATAATGCGTAAGTGACGCCACCTTTTTTTCCATCGGTACGCCATATTTCGTTGCATCGCCCCCGTACTATAGAATTCTCAAGTTAATGAACACACGTGAAACAGTTTGAAGAAGTTCCGAGGGGTTGGTATCGTGTTTCAAGGCTGATTTCATTGAAGCAACGTTACGACTCGGTCGATATCGAAGATCGCTACGTTGGTAAAAATATTACCACGCTCGTCTATTTTAGACGTAACCGCGTAAAAACGCGGTTCGTGTAGTGGTACGCTTGTTTTCGTTACGCCTTTGTTACACTACACACCGCAGTACTCACGACTACACAGGGCTCTCGTCAACGTAACTGTTACTCGCAATCTTAATTACGAAACTCGATTTCTGTCTACGGTCATTTACATTTGTCGAACAACTTGATACGATTAATAGTTTCGAAGGTGTGTATATATATAGAGAACTGTAAAATCTTTATTGAACAAGTCTATCGTGTATGCGAAAAGGCTGCCTAACAAGTATAGCTATGTTTTCAGAATGACCATCGTGGTCGGTCGATAAATACGGGTTGAATAAAATGACGTAACGACTTACCCTTGACATTCGACAACAGCTGATGCAATTTGATCCAGATTTAGGGCTTAACCCTATCGGTCTTCGGTAGAGGGTGGACAGGTTCGATTCTTAGGACACTGACCAGCTGTGTTAGACAACAAGCTTCTGTCGGTCGATGGACGAAAGTTAAGCTTGATTCGGTGTATATTGCCTTTAACCTCTTTCATAGATCCGTTGGACACGTACGAAGGGCAGTTGACGTCTGTAATTAAGATGGAAGAGATCTTGGGTCAAACATGTGTCCCGCTATGTCGTATGAGTTAATTAGTAAAATGTTGTAAGTTAGAGTAACATCAGAAACTGTGGGAAAAGTTTATTTCTATCTACTAAGCTACAAGTAATACGATAAATTCTACCTTCGTCCTTATTCTTTCACCGACTATAACTATAAATTCACATTCACTTAACAAGTAAACAATAGTTCTTTCGATAAGAAAAATAAACATATTAAAATGTCTGTTACAGTAGCAAAGACAAATCCAAGCGTGGGCGAATTTGGCGGCAGCACAATCGGTGGAGCGAGCGCGCCATACGTTACCACGGCGAATGGTCCCATGAACTGCCTTACCGGCGGTCCATTGGCCGGTATTGCAGGAAGCTTCAACAATACCGGCCGAACCAACTTCACGAACAAGCAGCTCACGGAACTCGAGAAAGAGTTTCACTTCAACAAGTACCTGACCAGAGCGAGACGCATCGAAATCGCAACAGCGTTACAACTAAACGAGACCCAAGTGAAAATTTGGTTCCAAAACAGAAGGATGAAACAAAAGAAGAGAATGAAGGAAGGCCTGATACCAACTGAGAATACAAGCGTGACGTCACTAAGTGGTGCGAGGAGTTCGAGCAATTCACCGACTAGTTCTTCGAGTCACGAAACTAGTGGTCTCGGTTTATCTAGTTTTACGAACGACAATAGTCGGGAATCCCCACCCTCCTCCTCGAAAGATTGACGCGTTTCTTGCTGCAGCAACGATCGAATCTATGGTATACGATTTAACGACGATTGGTAAAAAAATGAAGAAACCTAATTTTCAACCGCCCTAGTAATTTCAATGAATTCCCTTGCTGCAGCAACAACGCGAATTGCCACTTCGCTAAACGTGTGAAAAGTCGATTTTAACATGACGAAATTATTGGAATAATATACGATACAATCTTTGAACGATCTTGCAAATTAATTATCAAAATTAATCGATCATAGAATAGAAATTGAAAAATGTATATGTATCAATTAGGTGAACTATTTATTTTTCTTTAATTTTGTGTATGCTGTAAAGGCGATACGAACAGAATTGATCAGCGAGATGATTGATTCTTAAAATCATTCCCGAAAGGTTACCATATACCTCAGTTTGTGTAAATGGTATAAGGATATTTATATATACATAAAATTATAAATACCAATGATTGATCACAGCATATTATGTAAAAAATTGTGAAAATATTACTTTGGATGCTTGTTAATCACATCCAGAGCTCAATTTTCTTTTTGGTGAGGACAATTATTGTTTAATGTTATCATCCTTGCTATTTCGATATTTTATCATCATTTTTTCTTTATATTTACCACCAAATATTCCAATATTGAAAAATTCAAATATTGTATGAAAATTGTTAATTACCGAAAGAGCATGAATCGTTATAAAATTGCATTGTAAACTTTAATATTCGCAAAAAAATTAAATTCTTATTCTAATGCAATTAAATAATAACAATGGTGTCTTCGTAAATATGGCATTGCAATAGTAGATCGTAATAATTCTATAATGATAGCATGATAACATTAGTTGTGCTCCCAATTTGAATATCTTCTGTATGTATATGTACATAAAATCTAATGCAAATCTTGTGTCAATCTTAATGCACATCGTTATACAGTAAGACGTTACCAAAGTATAAAAAAATACAAGAAAAAAAAAATTCAAACATACTGTAGCTGATAATTGAAGTGTATAAATAAATAACACTGTATGATGAACTCATTTTACAATGGCTACAAGATTCGCATTGATTCTATTTAACTTAACTTGACCACTTGAAAGTTAACAAATTAATGTAATCGTATAGTTATATAGATTATATTGTGATGTATTAAGAAGTTCTGTACCTAAATAAATTCAGATATAATAAATTCTGATTACTCTGTAGTGTTACTTAAAATTCTGTAGAAAGAATAAACTATTATTACTCTAAAAAGAATACCTATAAAACTCACTGAAACTCCAAAATAAATTGGTTCGTCTAAGTATAACTACATATCTCACACTTTATTCGAAGATAAGAGTTCAAATTCCACTATTTAGCACAACTGTCTTGCACATGGTTTCCCTCATTTCCGAGTTCGACGACAAAATTTCAAATTCAGGTTGTCTAACTTTTTAAATACACACGTTAAATAAAAATAATACAGAAGAATATCGGTATGATTAACACGTAAGGTTGGCAGTACTGCAAACTCGCAAGAATAACCACATCTTTCACTATTACGATGTAAATGATGTCAAATGAATTTTCATGAGTATGTGAACTTGATAATTTGATATTGGACAAATTTTACGTGTTATTTAAAACAGAGCATTTATATACGAAAAAATTGAAGTCAGAAATAAATGTGGTTCATGACGAACTCTTACTGTCATACACAAAACTTCAACAAAATAGATAATTAAAGTATATTTAGAAAGATGACAGAAATAGGAGAGGAGGATTTAGAAAATTGCGGTTTAAAAGTAAATGCTAATGAGTTACTTGCTTTCCAAAGAGACTTGAAACAAGAAAAGGAACTACTTCAGAAGATACTGGTAAAAATTGACGATCAAGTACACAGGTTGCAGGTAAATATATTTAAAATGCATTTTTCATTTGTTTTAATACCAAAAATACTTTATATAACAAAACATTTAGGTGGAACAACTTAATTTATTAGGAATAATGAATAAATCATTAAAAGGAACAAAAGAAAGGTCCCCTAAACATGAGTCAACAAGTGACAACCAAGAAAATACTACGAATAAATTCTTGGACTTATCTGTAGCTTCTGCTTTTGACTATTTTAAAGAAGAAGTTGAAGATGAAGATGACGATGACA